CTCGATTTCTGTCCATGCTGTCAAATGATATTTAGTGAAGAATATTTTCCTTGACTGCTGTTTGTGCTGAGGGTGTGACGTTTCTGGCTCTTGGTAATGGAGCTCCTGACATCTTCAGTGCCATGGCAGCTTTCTCCCGCCCACACACCGCCGGGCTGGCTGTCGGAGCCTTATTTGGTAGGTGCAGCCTCACACACCATAAACAACTCAAGCTTTTCATTATGAAAACCTGGTTTGCCTCATTGTAATCATGCTCGATCTCTGTCTTCCTCCCTTTGTACACAGGAGCTGGTATATTTGTCACCACAGTAGTTGCAGGCAGCGTGGCGCTGGTCAAGCCTTTCGCTGTGGCCTCCCGTCCATTTCTGCGTGACGTCATCTTCTACATGGTGGCGGTGTTTTGGACTTTTGTCATGTTGTACAGAGGAACCACAACACTAGGAGAAACACTAGGTATACACACACACACTCTCTTTCTAGTGTTTTTTTTTTTTTTTTTTGCCTTATTGGTCCATTGTAAGAGGCAGTTTTAATCGAACGTCAGTGAAATATTTGCATTGTATGTTGGTTAATTTGTACATTTAAGATTTATTCTTTTGGATAATAAAATTCCACATTTAACACACTTAAATGGTTTTGATTACCTTTACAGCTTCAACACTTCACCCCTGCATCAGGGTCATTTCTTTGTTTTAGTTAACAGTTAACAGATGGTTTCAATGAGTTTATTTGAAGGTTAGGCCACAAGCCTTAGATTTTTACAGTAACTGTAAAAATCTAAAGTCTTCTGGGATGTATCTTTTTATTTTCCATCTAAACAAGTTTATTTACTTACACATGTAGAGGATTTTGCAGCCTCACAGGGTGGTGTGTGTGCTCACTTGTTCTGGTGCCAACATCTACAGCCTCAGACTGCAATCTCAGCTATCTTCTGACCGAAAACATTCCCAGCGTGCAGTTCCAAAAGTCGCCCAGCCATACTTTTCTGTGAATCGCCTACTCTCTGGTGGCACATACCCATTTTTAGATATTTCCACACAAACAGCAAACTATATAGAGAATATGTTGTGTATGCATAAAGTGATTTCTCACACTGTGACATTTTTAGCTTCACTTAGCTCCATTTCCTTTTTCTAGGGTACATTGGCCTCTATGTGGTGTATGTGTTGACTGTTATCATCAGCGCCTACATCTACAACAGGCAGAAACATTCAGTGAACTCCAGTGTGCGGAGTACTGCACATGTTCCAGGTTAGAAACCCAAATACATAAACACAAAGACAAATAAAAAATATATGGTTTTCCACAATTGCCACTGATATGTTTTTTTTTTCTTTGCAGCAGAGTTTCACTCATCCAACTCATCTGATGATGATGTTCCCTGCCTGACTGGAGGAACCATCCAACAGGAGTATGGTAGTAATTCTTTAAGACACATTATGAGAAGATACACTAGGATTTTTCTGCATGACCAGGACAATAACGTGTATGTGTATGTGTGTTTCAGAGTCAGAGTACAGGCCGCTTTTGCCTTACTCAGAGTCCACAACTCAGATCCTGCTGCGCTCTCTGAACCCGGTGGACCTCAGGAAGTGGCGGAGGAAATCGTGGAGCTGGAGAGTCCTCAAAGTACTGAAGGTGTGTGTGAGGGTAGACAGATACAAGGGGGAAGTGGAACAAACCCAATGTCTGAATGAATCTGGTTGGTACACCAAGTGAAAGGAGTGAAAAGCTATTTAAAACTGTCCTCCACCAATCAGACACCACTGGAGGTCCTGCTGTTGCTCTGCATCCCGGTGGTCGACCCCGATAAAGAAGACAGGAACTGGAATCGTCCACTGAACTGCCTTCATCTGATCACCACTCCTCTGGTGTGTGTGCTCACCTTCCAGTCTGGGATATGTAAGTGCAGCATGACATACTGTAGCAGCATAATCTTAATTAGGTATATAGTTAAATCATCACCCAGCTATTTTTTAAATTCTTTTTTAAATCTTTTTTTCTTTAACTAATGTCTAGATGGAGGCTATATGATCCATGGAGAGTTTCCCCTCTGGCTGCTGGTGCTTCTTCTGGGACTCTTCTTGTCTGCTATTGTCTTCTGCACCACCACTAACGACTGTCCTCCCCGATACCATCCAGTAAGTCTTTGTGGAGATTAAAAAGGAACAAATATTATCCATAAAATGTACACTTTTTGGAGGTGGGGTGGGCAGGGGTTGCAGATTATCACCCTCAGTTCTTTTACACATCAGACATACACATCAGAGGATATAATCATCACCCTCATTGATTGGCACTTGTGCTCAGGGGAATCCCCACTGCTGATTAAGTGTTTTTTATTTGTCTAAAACCACAATGCATTGCAGGTATGCATTTGGTGCAAGAAAATACATCCCTAGTTAGGTGGCAGTGATGTGGGTACAACTCCAGTTGCTTATCACCGAAGAAGGAGAAGATGAGTAACTTTGGAAATAGATAGAATAATAAAGTTGACGTTTTTCTAATAGTATATCTTGTAGGTCTGTATAGATGGGCTTGCATGTGTATAGGTCCACTAGTTACGAAATAATTATAAAAAATCTCACTGATAGCTTGATATTTTACTGAAAAAATGGCATTTAACTACATTTTAATTGCAGTTAATATTTACACAGATTGCTGTAGCTACTTTTCAGCTTGTGTGATTTTTTTTAAAACATTTTCTGTAAAAATTCTGTAAAAAACCTGTAGGAATAACAGTTAAGATAATCATGATACAGATCACAAACAGAAATTTCTAAATCAAAAACCGATGAAGCTAAATACCAAGTGCCGGCATATTGCAATCATTGGCAGAAGATGCCTTCGCCTTGTTCAAATAAGTCTACAGGTGTTTCTGACTATTTGTTACAAGAACTAATAGTGCTACACTCACAACTGGCGGTCAATCCACGATAGTTTGGGCTTAAAGTGAACAAGAGCAGGTGCGTTCCGTTTCTATCCTCCACTCCTCCCCCACCCACTTTCCCTCTGCTCTTTATTTGGCCCCTGTATGATATAAGGTGTTATGTCATACTAAGGGCTGAGGGTATATTTAATAAGGGGAAGTGGAACTTATTATGAAATGCAGAGTTGGGCATAAAACAAAGCACTGGACAAACAAAAAACGTGACCCGATAGTGGCGCTAGATGAAAAGTCAGGGGATCACCAAAATAAGCTTGATACGTCTTTGCAAGATAGTATATATTCATCATAGTTCATTCATTCTTAAAAATCAAAGCTCTTAAAATATCTTTGTTACCAGACTGGGTGAGTGTAGTGTGTCATTCATGCTGTTATGGTGAAATATGCTCTGTTGCTTGTGTGTATGTGATTATAAGTTTGCCTTTGTCCCTCTCCAGCTGTTTGCTCTGTTGGGCTTCATAGTGAGTGCAGGGTTGATCAGCGCAGCAGCCTCTGAAGTGGTCAGTCTTCTGCACATGCTCGGTGTGGTGCTGACTCTCAGCAACACTGTCCTGGGGCTGACTCTGTTGGCCTGGGGCAACAGCATAGGAGGTGATATTTGTGAACCTACTTCTTTTTTTCTCCAAATATATACAAATGTGCATCAATCAGCCAAAATCTTAAAACCACTGTCAGGTGAAGTGAATAACATTAATCATCCTGTTACAATGAAATATTCTGCTGGTAAACCCTGGGTCCTGGCATTCATGTGGATGCTACTCAACATGCTCCACCCACACAAACACTTTTGCAGACCAAGCACACCCCCCATAGTAATGGCACTTCCTGGTGACAGTGTACCCTGCCACACCCTAAAAACTGCTTGGGAATGGCTGGGGGGACGTGGCCTCCAAATTTCCCAGATCTCAATCTGATCAGCATCAGACATGCTGGTACTCCAGAATGTCCATGTTCTGTGTCCATTGAGTCCCTTGGGTTGCGAGATGGGGTACCAGCATGTGCCACAGATGCTCGATCAGATTGGGATCTGAGGAATTCGGAGGCCAGGTTGAAGTCTTGAGCTCTTTGTCAAGCTCCACCAGCCATTCCTGAACAGCTTTTGCGGTGTGACATAGTGCATTGTCCAACTGCCATCAGTGAGTCCCGTTGCCATGAGGGGGGTCACTTTGTCTGTGACGGTGTTTGGGTGGGAGGAGCGCATCTAGTGGCATCCCCATGAATGCAAGGACTCAAGCACACTATACTATAGCATTGTAACGAGATTTTCAATCTTTGATTAGTGAATGTTTGTGCTTAAAATCTTACACCTGTGTTAATCTTTTTCAGACTGTTTTTCTGACATCACCATCGCCAGACAAGGTTATCCACGGATGGCCATATCTGCCTGCTTTGGAGGCATCATTTTCAGTATCCTTACTTTAATAATAGTGTGTCTGTATAAAAACATAACTTATATAACAGTGACTGTTGCCGTCCTTGACTGTATTTCCTTTAGACATGCTGTTTGGAGTGGGTTTAGGATGTCTGGTACAGATGGTTAAAACACACTCTTATGTGCAGGTAATCTCCTCAAACATACAATTAAGAGTTTCTAATTATTTTTAAATGCACAATTGCAAAATACATGAGACTGTTTTGAACCCATTAATGTGTTACACCTTTGTCTCTTTCTCCTCCTCAGTTTGAAGTAGAGGGTTTGCTGACGTGGATTCTTGCAGGATCTCTGGGTTTGTCTTTGGTCCTGTCCTTCATCATTGTTCCACTGTGCCGGTTCCACTTGGGTCGGACATACGGGATCTTTCTCCTCCTCTTCTACACCATCTTCCTTCTCATTGCATTGCTAACAGAGTTTGGCAAGATCCACATGGTGTAGATCTGACTCTCAGGCCAGTCTGAAATGAGGGACGTCCTCCTGCAGTGCAACATGACACACTGGAACAGAATGACACCATCTTCTGCACATAATATTAATGCACTATTTATACAAGAGTCATCTGTACACTTTGTGCTCTGACAAATGAATGACAATTTTCTGCTCAGGGAGAGCTGAAACTGATCACACTGTGCCTTTATTCAACTTATCGTTTGTGCTGGAACTGTGACGGCACTTTGTGAGTCCAGAGGGAAAATACAGGATGTAGAAATTTATACTTTAAACATTGTGAATTAACTAAAAAGTACTGTAAATCAAAATGTTAAAATGAACCTGTACAAAGCTTCTTTTGGGGCATTAAATAATTTTGTTTTGGTATTTGTTTTTACAGGTCCTAGTAAGGTTATGCTGGTGTGTGTTAAATTATACATTATCAGTAAATAAGCCTGCAGCTTGATATACAGCAAAAATACATAAATGCCCATGACAATTCGAACAGTTTATTAAAATCCCTTCTTAACTAACTCAAATACATTACAGAATAAGAAGTTATATAAAAGTAAAATACTTTGAGTCTGTTGAGACATTAGTCAGGAGATACAGCGTAATTGTTTTGTTGGGTTTAGCTTAAAGGAGTGTTTATACTTTTGGTCTTAGATGTAGTGTCTGTTAATACTGATCAGTTGAGCCATTTAACTAAGGCATCAGGTTTAAGTACTACAGGAATTACAAGAGGTCACAAAAGGCCTACAGCAGTATACATACACAACGTACTGTAGGAGTACAGGCTCCCTGGTAATATTGGCTGCAGTCTTTGAAAAGGCCAAAAGAGGGCAATGCTCCCGCTTTACTGGTCGGGCAACAGACCTGCTCTGCCGTCTGTCTGTCTTTCTGTGGTGACGCCTCCCTCAAGGAATCGTCATTAACTCATCTCACTCTGACATCAGTCCAAAAAGGCCCCAGACTTGTTTCCCACTGTGACAAACGGGGAGTGTGGGGGAACTGGAGAAGACCTGGAGTGACAGGGGTATCTTTGCATTTAAAAACGCTGAGATGGTGCTGTGTATTTACGGCTTGCGAGCTGTGCATTAGTTGACGCTGTGAGGTCTAGTCTGTGAGTTAAGCTGAGGCTCTGGGAAGGAAGACGGGACAGAGACGGGACTGTCCAGTTCCCGCTCCACGCTTTGGTCTTGCTCAGGCAGGTTTTCCCTTGAATACTCTGCATACCACTCGTGCTGGAATGAGATGTAGAGACAGTGAGGAGATAACAACAGACCACCGACTGTCACGGTATTCAAGACTTTTTTTCTCAGTTTCTTACCTGTATCTCCTCCTCATACATTTTCATGCTGAGGTCACTCTTTGTCCTAGATCTGCGACCGAGGTACACCAGAGACAAGTGCTGTACACACCAAAGCAGGAGGAAAAGCTAGTTAATGGGACTTTGTTTGAAGGGCAGAGGACTAAGGCTTTATTGACACTGAAATGTTTTTGTTTTAAAATATAGAATTACCGCTGCGTTTACGTCTAGCATCCACACTACTGCAGGGTTTTAGAACCCCTAAAACAGACCTTTGAAAATGCTGTTGACCCCGTTTTGGTTTGTAAACTCTGGGGTTGTATTTTAGTCTGGATGCTCGAAAATGGAGGCTTTAAAAACAGTGACAGAGATACCCACTTTTCCTTCCCAATAAGGTCTCACCAGTCACGACTGGGACTGGGTATCAGTGCTTGATAGCTTTGCGCAATCCCCTGAAATAACCCAGCACCAAGGAGTAACAAAACTCCCACAAAGATCTAGGAAAAATGACTATTTGTATGGTATTGCTCACAGGCAATCACTGCAAGCCTTCTTCGATTTAATGCACTGTGTGATTGACCCACTTCCACAGTGGCTACAACACTTACAGTTTCTGGTGTAGTGAAATCAGGCGCAGGGTATGTGACGGAGTTGGCAGTTCAGCATGCCGAGATGCCACCAAAACATTCAAAGGTATGGCTATACTACACACCTCTGGGATCTGGTGGCATTCTATGCAACTGAGTGCTTCTATTCACATGGTATTGAGTGAAGTAAAAAACAAAAGGTGTGGAATGAAGTACTCTTTTGGTATCAGTATCACTTTAAGGGTACTGGTATCGTCATTTTTTAAACACTTAGGACGTTGCAAACTTTCCTTTTGCCACCTGCGTGGTATTTTCTGTAACTAAGTAACCAACAGCAGAGAAGACAATCCGCTTCCTGTTCCCACTGGCACATGCATGCTCAGTGTACGTGAATGGTCATGATATGCATTTTCAGGCGTGTTACTATGGACAGAGATTATTCCTGAAACGTTTCTAAAAACACGTGTGAACCGAAATGGTTTTCATTTTAAAATGCAGTTTTAAATGAAAAGGTTCAAGTGTGATTGTGGCCTAAAAGTTTCTTTAGTGTGTGTGTATGTGTGTTTTCTTACCCCTCCCCTGTCCATAGTCTGGAGGACTCCCTGTAGAGAGCTGAGGGAGGACAGTCCTGGGCAAGTCTGTTTGTACAGCTCCAGAGTGGCCAGCGCTTCATCACGACTCACCTCTACTTCAAAAACTATTCCGTTCTCATCTGGAGTGTGCACACACACACACACATTAAAATGACTCACTGAACGCTAATTCACACTTCAAACCATCCTGGCAGCTAAATATTAATCAAATAGGCATTTTATCCGTTTATCTGTTCAGTGAATGCTGCAAATATTCAAGATTTGTTTGAGATGCTGTGCGTTCAGTAAATGTATACACAATATCCACACACGCACACACACACACACACACACTGTCTCACCCTCTGGGTTTTCCACTGGTTCCCGGTTCTTGCGGCTGTAGTTCATGCGGAACACAAATGCATCCAAAATGAACGCCACAATGATGGTCATCACCACCTGGATAGATGAAATATCACACACATGCACATTAACAGCATTAGGGCAATTATGCAGCGCAGACAACACAAACACATAATACTACACAGGCCTCACCATGGTAACTATGTAAAAGGTCATGAAGTAGAGCCGGCTCCAGTGGGTGGTCATTGAGGTTACTCCTTCCTGTGGGGGAGTAAACACGACAGCAGTGATGCAGTGAAACAGTGACACCCACTGACCAGTGACTGATGGAAGACCACAGATAAATGACTTGAACCTACCATGGTAATGTACCAGTTATTGACCACAGTCAGTTCAAACAGAGTCACTGGAGAAAAACAAAAAAAGGAAAGAATACACAAATTAAAAAACAGTAAAATAGTCCTCAACAAATATATGATTTACTACTGTTTGAGTAACGTTTTGTAAAACCTGCAGTGCCCAGCTGTTTTAGGAAATCATTCAGACTTTTAAAGACAATATATTCAATACAATATTTCCATCTTCAGTAGAAACAAATAGGACGTTCAGAGCCACATACAAGCTGGGGAAGACAGAAAGCGATGGATTGGAAGGCCATCCACAACTGATGAATGATCATGTTCTGTCAACAGTGGCACCAAGCGCACGCTGCAGCTTTGGAAAATGCTATCCTATCTTTCAGCAAGTCGCTCATAAAGTGATTCTAACAGTATCATTGGCCACCGTCTTTAGAGTTGTGCCATGGACTCCCCCATCCACTGGAGTTAGTACAATTTCTATAGTTAGTGTTCTTAGTGTGGATGGCACTTTACACATGATTGGTTTTGGTTGTTTAACGGATTTGTTGACAATAATAAAAATACAGAATATTGCCAGTCTTATCCTTTAAAAAACGAGAGGAGTTACCGAAGCTGCTGAGGATGTTGTTGAAGTTATTGAGATAATAGTAGCCTTCTTCCAACACTGTTCTGTTGCCATCGGTGATGTTCTTCAGTCTGTAGGACTCTGCCACTGTGCTGGTGCTGAGGGGACAAAAAAATCAATGGAGTGAAGTAAACATAAGAAAATGCAGGAGACCAGAGTTGAAGTGGAAACAGGCAACTTTTCCACTTCCCTCTCGTTGGCGCTGCTGTCACAAATACAACCAGATCACTTTTCTTTTCAGCAACTACCACCAACACAGGACAGATTGCATTTTGTTTTCCAGAGTTACTTTGGTTGTTCCACTGTCCACCATGTCCGCTACTGGGAACAGCAACTGCAAAGAACCTACACTGATTCGGTAAGTGGGGATAGCTACCGATAGCTAACAGGGAAAACAAAAGCATTACCTGCTTCCTGTTTTGGATGCGCAATGGTTGACGCACTTCCTTTGTACCGTAAATCGAGCCTTTTCTTTCTCAGACAGATCATACCCAGTGGCAAACAGAATTGTATAGTGAAAGTGAGGCTTATGGGGAACCATATTCTATAGCTGATACATTGTGCAATCAACATTTACTTCACAATGATAAGTTAAAGCAAAAATCTTGTCGATTTCCACTTTAATGAAAATACATCCTTGACTCACTTGCAGCAGTTGGGGTAAACCACATCTGCAAAGAACTCCATCCCAACAATTGCAAAGGAGTAGTAGAAGATGATCAAGGTCAGCCCCAGACTTGCCATCCTGGGGAAGAGCTCAAACATGGTGTCCAACACATTACGATACCTCTGCTTTATCTTAAACAACCTGTCAAAGACAAGAGACCGACATTTTAACATTAAAGACAATATATGATAAAAGCAGATGTACATTATGCTCTTTAGAGTACTAAATAAAAGCGTACCGGAGCAGCTGAAGTGGTCTAAGAACTACAATAAAGTAAAAAGGCTCCATATCGAAGGCAAGAGCGATCAGGCCCAGGAAGGCAAACACTGTCACTGAGAAGTCAAACCTGGACAGATGAGCACACCAAAAACACAGAGCCAGTGTTTGAGAACATGCTGAAATAAAATTTAGTTGTGTTTGCACAAAACAGCACATACTTTAAAATCACTTAAGCTTTGATGAGAGTACTGAATCCAAATGCACAGACTTGTTTAGGGCTGAACTGAAATTTTTGTTCTTACATTTGAAGCTTTTATTGAGGTTTTTGAGTGAAGCTTCTAATATCTTATTTTATGATGTCATCACCCTTTTTTTAATCCTCCAACAAAATCCTCAATTTAAATAAAGTGATTCATCGGATTAAACAAGTTAGTCTTTTTTATTAAATCAACTTGCTTTAAAGGTCTAGTATGTAGGATTTAGTGGCATCTAGCCACCAACTGAAACTCCTCCCGTGTGCCAAGCAGGTAGAAGAGCTACAGTAGCTGGACCGAAAATGCAAAAATGCTAAAACACAGTGTTTGGTCTGTCCTTTCTGGGCTACTAGAGAAACCTCTGTAGATATAAATGTCTCATCCTAAAGTAACAAAGACACAACGATTGTTTTTTTCTGGTGATTATACCCTAATGAAAACATTCTTATTACATTTAATTCCAGGGCATCCAGTAGCTCAGTGGGTAGAGCAGGCATCCCATGTACAAAGGCAATGTCCTCGCTGCAGGGGCTGTGGGTTTGATTCCAGCCTGCAGCCCTTGGTGCGAGTCATCCTTCCTTTCTCCCCCCCCTATACAGTAACACTTAATACTATCCTATCTATTAACAGCAAAAGGGCAAAAAAAATCATTATAACTTTAATTCCATTTCTGCCAATATATCCCTCCAAATCCTACACACTGGACCTTTAATAAATAAGTGTAATTTATGGTGATGTCAGACTGCCCCATAAATACAGATGTGTGCCTAACTTTGTGTGCAGAAAGCAGGAGAACAAACTTTTTTTTTGACCGCAGTGAAAATGCTGCTTTTGAAAGTCTAAACGCCAACAAATGTGGATTGAAGCACGATATTTCATCAGATAAAAACTGTTGTGGATTAGCCTCTTGCAACTGTGCAGAAATACCAAGTTTGAAGAGAATAAACAGACATTAAAAAAGGGGCATTATTCGAATATTGATTTAGAATTTGAATGTTATAAATGAGGCTTTAAATTATTTGGTACAGCCCTAGACTCAAACAGTGTCAATGACTTTATGCAGTCTTCATTCTCACTGTGGTGCTTGGTATAACCCGTCTACAAGTGTGAAGTTTCGGATTCAGTACTCTTTCAATATGTGAATCAATCGGCCGAGGATCCAAATTATTACTCACAGATTCCACCCAGAGCTGAAATAAGCCATTGGCCCCAAACCAGTTATTTTCAATAACACCTCTACACCATAAACTAAAAGTGAAAGGACAGAGGCAGAGTCAATACTGTTATTAGTGCATGTAAAAACCATTAATTCTTGACACCCTCTATTTTTTGCAGCACATGATGATTTTCTACTCACTGGTCAGAAAAACAATGTAACTCCAGGGAACCAATCTGGACCAGGAAAATCCACCTGCATGAGGACAGTAAGGTGAGAGATCTGTAGTGTAAAACACTACTTCAGTCACATGTGTTTATGTCATCAGGAGAGATCTTACTATTGTACGTGTACGTCTCCACGAGGATCCACACACCGTTTATGGCCACCACCGCATCTGCAGCCACGAGAAAAGGTTAAAATAGTTTACGATTGAGAGACTTTCCTTCTGTATCTCCAGGGACAGCTGGGAGAATGTAAAGGATTGCACTTACACATGGCATACTGGAATGCCTTTGACTTCACAAGCAGGTTGATGCCTGTTAAAGTAGAAAGAAAGCGCTGAGAATAAGGACTGGGTAGATGGGTTTGTTTGATCCAGGGTGCCTACAGCTTAAAGCAAGTAGATTTAAGACTCTCAAAGACTTTTTGATGCCACTTGGAATTAAATTTCAGACTAATTCTACAAAAACCAAAACTTTCATGACTTTTTATAGATCCACGAGAACCCTGTTAGTCTAATGAACAGAAGAACAGAAAAAGAGAACTTGCCCTTGAAAATGAGGAAGGTCGTGTGGGGAAGGTCATCAAACCAATGTTCTCCACTGCGTCTTGCCTAAACAGCACACACATGTGCAGTATATGTACATTAAAAGGACACAAAATAGAGGGGATCATAACTACAGAGTACAAATGTAAGGCTACTTACCTTCCATTTAAGGCCAGTGACTTCATAGAACTTATAAAAGTCCTGCAGACTGTTGGAGAGCAGACGGAAAATGTAACGATGCAATTAAATGCAGAAGGATTATAACTTAAGAAGGTGTGTGTTGGGGCGTCGGTGGCTTAGTGGTAGAGCAGGCACCCCATGTACAAGGAGAGAGAGAGGGAGTGACATGCAGCAAAGGGCCACAGGCTGGAGTTGAACCCGGGCCGCTGTGGCCCTTTGCTGCATGTCACTCCCTCTCTCTCTCCCCCTTTCACACTTGTCTGTCCTATCAAATAAAGTTAAAAATGCCCCAAAAAATATCTTTAAAAAAAAAGAAGGTGTGTGTTAGGCAGTTACCTGAGCATCGGAGCCCCTGAGGTGTTAAGAGCTTTATATGTGAGGAAGCGGTCTCTTGCAGACATCCGTGGTCTGTAAAATCGCATCAGACCATCAAACTGTTTCAGCGACACGCCCATCGGCCTCTGGAGACAAGACAACAGCAACACAGACAAAACACAGTGGCCGTGAGCGCTTAATATCAGATAAATAATTTGTACCAAATATATATTACACTGGATCAAACTGTGAGGTCGTACCTGTCGGCTGACTAACAGCTGAAAGGCGTGGTCAATAGCAGAGCGTTTATGAAGTAAAAGAGATTTAAACTTCATCTTTTCGACGTCATTAAACGTGTCAAACACCACTGCCAGGAGCTGGAGGGGGAAAGAGAAGTGAAGCTGATGAGTGACCAAGTAAAAGTAAGTCATGTCTATTTTTAATAAGACTGAAATGTTAGAAGTGGTGGAAACAAGGTTGCCTGTACCAGGTTCATGATGAAGTAGAGCTCTATGGAGAGGTAAACAATGAAGAAAACACAGGACCAGCGGTTCTTGGAGTATGATGGCATCATCACATCAGGGAAACTACAAGAAAGAACAAAGCAAAATATACACAAGTCATGAGATACACACTAGAAACTGTGCAATCAACCTGAACACACATGTCGTTGAGGGAACTCTACTGCAAGTAGGAAGTACTGCTTGCATGACATGTGTGTGCAGATGAAACGGAAAGCTCAACAGTACTATGTGTACCGCTGTACTTACTTTGCTGTGGTCAGCAGCACAAACAGACTGACAAGGCTGTTCTCCAGAGTGCTGAAGTACTGCGGTGAGAGGAGACAGGAATCAGGAAATCTGACCACTACAGACACAAAAATCCCACAAACTTATATAACTTGCAAACAGATGTCTGTCACTAAAGAGTTGACGTACCGGGTCAGCAGTGTTCGGAGAGAAGAGGCAGAAACCTGGGACGAGACAACAGGATAGTCAAGCACACAGAGTACCAGAAACCCTGTTCCATCTAAAGACAGCAGATGATTTACCTCGGGGTATTTTATAATTTTACATAGAGGGCAGAAAAGAAATAATAGCCTTTAAAGGGATAGTTCGGATTTTTTATAGTAGGGTTGAATGAGGTAGTTATCTATAGTCAGTGTATTACATACACTAGATGTCAGTTGGCACACCCCCATCCACAGCGGCACATTGCTTAGCTGCCATGGTGGCACTCCTGCCGCTTTTCCAGTCTGGGGGCACGCTGACCGACATCTACTATATGTAATACACAAACTAATGATAAGTACCTCATACAACCCAACTTCAATTAATCTAAACTATCCCTTTGATATACAATAAAAATAATAAGACTTCTTACCCAAGATAGCAAATATAACCATGAAGAAGAGCAGCAGTAGGAGGATGTCAATAAAAGGCGGGAGGGACTGGAAGATCTGACGCAAGTTTCTGATTGGATGAGAGAATCACTTTCAGTGATGACTGCGTTTAACAGTTAAATCAGTGGTACATTAACTTTGAAGTAATAAATCCACAAAGTAGCTACATTCAACGAACCATCAGTGAGCAGTAAATGTCATCTCTGAAAGATCTTTTACAATTACTTTTTTTCTTTTCATTCAGACTCTAGTACTCTGAGACGCTGTCAGAGACATCACAATGGATGTTTTCAAAGGGAGCACAAATCTAACTGAGCTTGCAAGACTTTGTTTGGCTTTGCAAGTGTCACTGTTTTTCTTTTATATGAAACTAATTACATTTGGAGTCTGAGAACTTCAGGAATGCTCTGTATGGTCCTTCCCCTTTTTTCTCTCTTGTGTTTTCCACTTTATAAACAGCATTTGGTATGGGTTGTTATGAAAACTTTTCAATTAAGGAGGCTGGAAATTCTATTTGACCATGACACTGACCTAACTGAATCTGTGAGACTGTTTAACATGCCTCTTGGGTGATCTGATCACAGGCTGTCTGTCCACACCTGGTATTAGAATGCATCTCCAAATGCGTTGCTTGTGATCAGATCTCACTTCCCTGCTCTACATGCAAATGAACATGTAAATCCTTATCGTTTGCAAAGACTGAATGCACTGTTGTTTTTAACAAGCAGAAAGTTTGCTGTGCTACAGTCACGCTCGAGTGCCAACTTATTCATTTGCCCTAAGGTAACAGAGTGCAAGAGATTGTGGATTTCTCGTGAACTCACACACACTAAGCAGAGAATGTCAGCGGCCCTTCAGTGTGGCCCAGGACACATTAGCGTACACACTGCTGAAAGAATGTGCAGCCCAGACCACTTGCAAATGTGCTCTGAACGATCAGCTCTAAAAGGACTCATTGGGTGCACTCAAACCTGTACTTGATCTGTCTACTTGTGATTCAATCACCCAGGAGGCTTGTTAATACCAGGTGTAATCAGGGGTCTGTGTGTGTTTGTTTAGGTCAGTATGTACCTGCGCACAGCACCACAGTATCTACAGTCCACCAGGAATATTGGTCTGAGAGCTCTGGTCACTCTCACATGAGACGTCTGTCTTATCAGAACCACTATGGCCTCCACAAACTGTAGCAGCAACACACACGTCTGGACAAGGAGAAGAGAGACATGAACAATTTGCAGTAACAGAAACTAAACCCAGCCTATGACATGGCACCTGCAAACAGCAGGGTGACAGCCTTCCCTCAGTGGACCAGACCCTATGCGAGCGAGCATCCAGCATGCTGAAGTGACTATTATGCCATCAGAAAGTACCCATCATAGGTCAGTTACCTTCACCATGGTCCTCTTGTGTCGTATGAAGGTGTGGAACCCTAACCAGCGGAGTTTCATGCATAGCTCAAATGCCACCATAACCAAAGCCAGCAGCTCCAGAGTGGCATGGACCTGCAAAGGTATCAAATACACAGGTGCTTTTACAGGAATCTGTGTGTTTTAAACTTATGTTTGTGTGTGTACGTTCGCTCACATAGACATCCAGGCGCAGCGAGGGCACAGCGGGAGCTTCACACAGCGACAGCATCATCAGCAGCAGGCCTGTAAGCAGCTCCATCATGTAGAACAAGTGGTTGTGTGCAAAAAGGTAAGCTGCCAGCGCCTTTGGGTTTCGAGGATGGGTGAAGAACTTATCATTGTTCTCTCCTTCCTGCATGAGAACACATACAAATCACAGTGTAAGCCTTTATAAACCAAGATTCTGTTACTGTGCTGCCTATTTCTCACCTTTAAATGTTTTCAGAAACTTATCTTAGCTTACTGTTTGACTGTAAAATGAATATTGAAAAGTCCTTAAATAAAGACCATAAACAGATGCTTTCTATATCAGCACACTCTATTGTATATTGGCCACTATCATTCCAGCACACCCAAACAGTTCTGTCTGGCCGAGGACACCCTAAGAGGCTAAAACTAGAGCACCCTAAGAGCACCTGAGCAGACACTGTCCTGTTATGTGTAGCGCTGTGTGCTGTAACCCTCAAACATCTCAGCTCCAGTTACACTGCGCATGTGTCATACCCCATAACTCCCATGTGGTCAAAGAGCGTGTCACAGCCTTTATTAATTAGCCTTGTTTTCTCTGGTCATGTAGCATCACTTTCAAAAGTACTTTTGTCTTTTTACTGCATGGACAGCCCACTTTGATGAAGAGACCGTCTTTCCAGCAGTGAAATACTTCTTTAAGTGCGCTAAATGTTATCTGTCTACAAAGTTATACCTTTTTCTACCCTGTGGAATTTTTCACCGAAAGTAGCTCTCAATGAGCCCCCATTTTGTTTTCATCATGCACAAACACAGGGACACACATGTATGTACACAAGAATGTCAGCTGCACAAACATTTCTGCTGCCAGTTCCATGCTATGCCACTGATCTCCAGTTGGTAGAGGTAATGTGCAAAGGAGGATAGTGCTGCGCCAACAAAGGCAGTGAGGAACAATACGGAAAGCTTGCAAACATGACAATGCTCAATTTATAGTCTTTTTAAAAATAGGCTTTGCACATGAGGAAGGAAATGCATTCAACACATCATCAGCCTTAACCAAGTATTTCACTGCTGGAAAGATGGTCTTTATTAAAACTAGGGTGTCTATGCAGTAGAAAGATGCAAATACTTTTAACATTGGTGCTACATGACCTGAGAAAACAGAAAAAAGGGCTGTGGCATTGCAAACTCGTCCGTTTGACACACTAGTGGCTGGCTGGTAACAAACAGTCTCGTATTACAGTTTAACAGTAAGCTACAACATCTTTGTGAGAGCGTTTGGGGTGAGAAATAGGCAGCACAGTAAAAGAATCTTGGTTTACATTTGATCAGTGCTGCTTAGTTTTAATATTTGAACTCATTTTTTCAGCCTCCACTTTAAAATGCAGGACACAGTATGGCACCCACTGTTCACAAACTCTCACTATTACAGCTTAACAAGGCAATAAATATGTTTCTTTTTTTTAATGATTATCTTTTGGGTGGTTTTAGCCTTTACTGATATTACAGCTGAAGATGGACAGGAAAGGTGGGAGAGAGAAGGCAATGACATGCAGCAAAGAGCCAAAGGTTAGAACTGAATTCAGGCCACTGCAAAGAACTCAGGCTATATAGGGCAAACACTGCAGGGTGAGGTAAGAGGTCACCCCCTAAAATATGTTTCTAAAAAACATTTTAGATGAGAAACAGGCAGTACAGTCACATGATTTTGGTTTAGATTTGATCAGGGCTGCCTATCCTGTTTGATCAGAGTTAGGTTTTAGTTAGTTTTAAAGAGAAAGCAAGGCAGATCTGTCTTTTGATCCACTTCTTTAGTCTTTGTGTACGTGGTGGCAGGCAAAAAGAAAACATAGACGTTCAGCCTTTAGTTTGAGGAACTACCTAACAGGGAAAGCAAAACTTCACTGGATAACACATTTTGTGTCATCTGGCGGAGTTTTGGTGTGAGTAGAGCTGGGAGATCTATGGAGGGAAGTTTATCACAGTTTATTAACACATACTACCCCATGTTGTTACAATACAAAGCTAGTTGAAAATCAGCCAAATACACAATGCGTTTTGGTAAGAAAAAATTAATGTAGAATAAAAAATACAAACACCTTTAACATCATTACACAAGAACTGTGCAACTAAGTGCTCTTGTATTATCAATAAGCAGATAACGACTGATTATCAACCAATAAATTCCATATGTGCATCATTTTCTTGTATCATATCTGATTTATTACTTCCAGTAGCTGTTCATGATGTAAATATAGACCCACTGAAAGAGCACAAAGTTTAACCACCTACAGGTAATTATACAGTGTAGAGGGTGTAATAAAAACCATCATATGACCATGTTAACTCAGCTGCCCTGTACGCTCAGTAACTAACACATGCCACAATCCATTGTCTGTGAGTACCTGCAGGTAGATGGCTGCCTCTTGGTAGTTCATCTCCCAGCTCTGCCGTAAGGACACATTTTGGACTCTGTGGTTTTGTGGTCCAGGTGTTGAGATCACAGCGTTGTTCACTATGTCATAATTACCTCCTCCTCCATCTGGAAGAAAACATGCAGGTGTCAATGTATTAATACAGCCCATATGTGGAAAAGAACAACTTACTGCTGTCCGTTTAATTTCCACTTTTATCTATACGTATACGAGTCAAACACACACACACACACACACACACACACACACACACACACACACACCCACACCATACATAGAGGGGTATGGGCCTACCAGTGCAGTCTAGTTCTAACTGTAAGGCATAGGAGGAGATCACAACCGGACTCCCGTTGTGAATCGGATCTTCATGGGATCCAGCTGCCTGTACACATATGCACTCCATTGATCAGTTTGGATTTTGTGTGCTCCAGCTGTGGGAATGAATCAAGATCCCTGACGTCCACAGCACAAGTGTGTGTATGTGTGAGTGAGTCATTCACAGTGTGCTGGTCTTGCTCCAGCATCCACACACATCTGGAGGTACAGACGGCCAAACATTCCACTCTGGCCTGATGCAAACTCCAGAAACACAGTCCGGATGCGAGTCCTTACAGATCCAGGAATATTCAGGCCAAGCTCGGGGATCAAAGTGACACTGGAGACAGAACACCATTCAAAACTATTTGCAATGCTTAAGAAGCTCAGCGCTTCTTTGACAGTCAATTGTTTATTTTGGCAAAAAAGCGTCTCTAATGGTCACCCTGATGGGAGATACTGTGACCAGTGACAGTGACTTAAACACTTGCACACATTAGCCTCCTGCCTTTGCCGAGGAGTTTGAACTTTAAACCCAGTCAGTGAGAAAGTGCCGTGTTTGCACTGATGTCACATCGTCTATTACTTCTCCTTCCTGCCACAGACAGGATACAGACATGAGACCAATAAAATTAAATCCCATCACTACAAGACGGAGAGTGACTAACTTCAAAAGACAGGGACAACATCTAGATATCTAATAACACTAAGAATGCAGTATACCATTATAGGACATACTACAGAGTTAGGTAATAACTTTCTTTTAAATGACACAGATGGTGCAGGTTTAAGAAAAAAGTACTTTCCTCAAAATGAACTTAAAAGTACAACTGATAAAGATGAAATCCAGATTAACTCTCAAGTCAAGTATTCTCTAATAACCTGGTATTACGGTTTCAAGCAGGACCCTTCATAAATGTAAATCACAGTTTTTGTCTTGAATAAGTAGTCCCTCTATGTGTTTTTCAGCAGCTGCATAGTTGAGCATATCTGGGCGCTCTTCCCACGTACTGTACATCACATGGTTCTGCTTCAGGCTGACTCCTCGGAATAAAATGCAGTGGAGACCATATGAGTCTCTGAGACGCAGTCACACACTGTTCCTGTCCACCGTGACAGCAGCAGATTGAGCTGAAGGGTGAAGATCAAATTCCAGTCCAGCGGCAGCCTGGCTGTTATCCTGACAGGAGTACGCTCTGTGTCTGCCGTGCGCCACTCCAACCCCTCATTTGTTTCAGCACAATAACATGTTCAGAGCTCCCACTCAAAAACACAGTGGGGTCAGGCTCACAGAAACATAAACAGGCTCAGCACCCATGACCGTTTCTCACAGGACGAATAAAATCTGCTTTTGAAGTGATCTGAAGGGTCCTGACCACCAGCAGCAAAACTGGACTCCACACTTCAATCCAAGCATGTGATTCGTCACTGAGGTGATACAATGCAGCCTTCTTTCCCAGTGTCCAGGTTCAAACTCCCTGTCTTTCCAGAAAGTCCCAACAGCAATCAGCAAGAACAGTGTGATACTTCCTCCTTGTCTACCACTCCCAAATATCCTGAGGGAAAAAAACTCCTCTTCTCTTCCTGTTCACCTCCAGAGCCAGAGAAAATGACCCTGTACTCTCACACACTCAGACACACGTACACACGGGCTGCAGACATTCACACACACAACACACACATGCGGCCCATGAGCAGCAGGGAGGGGCTGAGGGGTGCACTGGTCTGCTGAGGCAGCAGTTTCTCAGACGGGTCATTTTGTAGCTTATATGTGAGGGATACAAAGGCAGCAGGATTACTATGTTGAGTGGATGCATGGATAACCATAGGTTCTGTGCACACACACACGTGATCTCAGAGCCTGGTGGACAATCTCTGCTCTCCATTAAAGCAGTGTGGCCTGGACGTGCAGCATGTATGCAGCTGACTGTCAACAACATTCAGTGGCTTCAGACTGCGCATACACACATCTGGTAAGTAGAAGAGCATTAACTTAATATCACAAAATATACGGCTGTAATAATATATACAAACGCTCTATGGAATTTTCTATAATAACACTGTACAATACTATAAATATTTATTTAAAGCAATACATCATGGAGCCACAAACGGATGATCACTACTCGTGTAAGAAAAACTTAAAAAACAAACCTTTCTGTGAGCTACAGCATGACTTAATGAGAATTTACATCTCTGTCTTCCTGTGCACTGAATCAACCAGGCTACATTCAGTTTCCAGTGTATTTGGTACTCCTAAGCTGTTTTAAGGAAGTGCTGATTCAATTTAATTCAATTGTAGGGGCTGTAGTTGGCTGTGATGCTGAATATAATATCTTGTCCACCTCATTTACAAGGGCGCAGGTTTCATTTCAACATTTGAGGGTCACGTATGAAAGAAAATTGGAAAATGTGAAAAGAGAGAGAAAATAATTGGAAAATATGAAAGTAGGGGTCCTTTGTCCGAAAATTCTGAGCATCAAACACTTAATTTCCTGTATACTGGTGAATTTTTATGCACCAAATTTGTGCCTTGTCTGCATCACTTGTCTGGTGTAAATGTCTTTAATTTTGCCAAAGTAAATGTCCTCTGCTACTTTCATGTATTTATTGAGGGGTACAAATGCACATGTTCTAAATACTAAGGTGAAAAAGGTTAGAAACACCTATCAGAAGAACACAATGCAACAACAGCACCACAAACTACATCCTCTAATTTGACTTTAACATATTTAACACATTTATTGCAAGGCTGTTAAAGAGGAACTACGCCCATTTTCAAAATTCATACATGTTACTCCTGTGGTCTAAGACAGTCCAAATATGAGTAAACATGATCAACCTTTCTCCCAAATCCAAAACTAGAGTGCTAAAACTCAAACTTGTGATGTCATCAAGTAAAAAGTCTGGAGCTGCTACAATGAATTGAGAAAGATGTTATAGATGACACTGATAGCACCCAGGGGACTGATCTGTGTATTTGTACTTGACTTTGTACTTGATGACATCAAAGGGTTTGAGACTTACTTCTCTGGTTTCAAGCTTTGACAGAGAGTAGCTTATATTTATAAATACATATTGAACTTTCCTAGGCCATGGAAATAACATATTGGATTTCTTAATTTAGGTGGTGTTACCCAGACTGCATTCGTTTGAGTTATATTCAACTGTGTGTATTTGCTCACGTGGATTTTTGCTTTAATTGTACAGAGCACAAACTTCTTGTGTTTATCTGAATGCTTCAATGCATAGGCCTAGACATACATGCACAGTTTCCATAACTCCATTATGGCTGAGTGTGAATATGTGACAGCATGAACTTACTTTCGTCTCCTCTCTCAGTCTCCTCGTTGAGCAGACCGCTATTTGCTTCGTCCCAGGTTAAGATGAGAGGCACATCGTCGTCAGACTCCATACTACTACTGACAGATAAACAGGCTGCAACCAGCCTTGATTAGCTAACGTTCAATTACACTTAATCCTAGCTACACACTTGCTAAATAAGTCCGCGGATTGTTCCGCAAACCGTGAGACAACTGCACATCTTCGGTGCTCGCAGTTAACGCCAGTTGTTAGCAAACAAACCGAGTACTTTTGGTGCTGCGCTAACTGAGATGAGATGAGCGCTAACTACGAGGTTAAATGTCTCCTGTGAGACATGCAAACAGGAACTAGCGGCTTTCTAGTTGTGCGTAGCGGTCGGGGCCTGTCGGTTGTAGACTTGGTCTTTGTCCTGTCACAGACGGCATCTGTCACCGAAATCAACTGGTTCACTGTCTGTCAGGCTAACAGGCTGAGACTGTCCCTCCGTGTCCATCTGTGTCCATCACGGCATCTTCACCGCACACAAGGCTCTCCGCTGGATAACAGATGTTGTGCGTGCTCTGATAACATTTAACCAACAACCAAGAACATCAGTTCTCTATCTAGATTAACATTTGTGTAAGCAACAGTGCCTGATACTTGATAACGGTACTACAAAAGCTCTGCAGAATACAGCTGCATCAACAAACATTTGCGACACTGGAGCGACTGACGGCAGGCCGAGTAACGGTGACAGATTTTCAAAATAAAAGCACATGTTCAAGTTAATGCTGTAGTGTAAAACTCATTAATTGAAGGCTGTCTCGTTTATTGTTTATTTATATTTGTATACTTATGAAATATTTAAATGAATTAGTAACTTTTCCATCTATCTATCTATCTATCTATCTATCTATCTATCTATCTATCTATCTATCTACAGTCAGGTCCATAATTATTTGGACAATGATACAGTTGTCATCATTTTGGCTCTGTACACCACCACAATGGGTTTTAAATGAAACAATGAATACCTGCTTAAAGTGCAGACTCTCAGCTTTCATTTAAGGCTTTTTTCAAAAATGTAGTATGAACCGTGTAGTAATGACAAGCATTTCTTCACACAGTCCCCCAACTTTAAGGGCTCATAAATATTTGGACAAACTAACATAATCATCAATTAAACAGTCAGTTTTAATACTTGGTTGCAAATCCTTTACAGTCAATGACTGCCTGAAGTGTTGGACACATAGGCATCACCAGATGCTGGGTTTCTTCCCTGGTGATGCTCTGCCAGCCCTTTACTGCAGCCGTCTGCACTTCCTGCTTGTGTTTTGGGTGTTTTGCCCTCAGTTTTGGCTTCAGCAAGAGAAACGCATGCTCAATTGGATTCAGGTCAGATGATATGACTTGACCATTACAGAACATTCCACTTCTTTGCCTTAAAAATGTCTTTGGTTGCTTTTGCAATATGCTTCAGGTCAATGTCCAACTGCACTGTGAAGCATCGTCCAATGAGTTTTGAAGCATTTGGTTGAATCTGAGCAGATAATGTAGCCCCAAACACTTCAGCTTTCATCCTGCTGCTCTTGTAAGCAAGACAAGACTTCACTAGAATAAATACAGAGGGTTTATCACAAGATGCAAACCATTGGTTAGCCTTAAAAATGGAAGGCCAGATTAGAGTTTGTCAAAAACCATCTAAAAAGCCTGTACAGTTGTGGAACAGCATACTATGGACAGATAAAACAAAGATCAACTACCAGAATGATGGGAAGACAAGAGAAGGAAGAAGGGAAGGAACTGCTCATGATCCAAAGCACACCACCTCATCAGTGAAGCATGGTGGAGGTACTGTTATGTCATGGCCATGTATGGCTGCCAGTGGAACTGGTTCTCTTGTATTTATTGATGATGTGACTGCTGACAAGAGCAGCAGGATGAAAGCTGAAGTGTTTGGGGCTACATCATCTGCTCAGATTCAACCAAATGCTTCAAAACTCATTGGACAATGCTTCACAGTGCAGTTGGACAATGACCTGAAGCATATTGCAAAAGCAACCAAAGACATTTTTAAGGCAAAGAAGTGGAATGTTCTGTAATGGCCAAGTCATATCATCTGACCTGAATCCAATTGAGCATGTGTTTCTCTTGCTGAAGCCAAAACTGAGGGCAAAACACCCAAAACACAAGCAGGAAGTGTAGACGGCTGCAGTAAAGGGCTGGCAGAGCATCACCAGGGAAGAAACCCAGCATCTGATGATGTCTATGGGTCCAACACTTCAGGTAGTCATTGACTGTAAAGGATTTGCAACCAAGTATTAAAACTGACTGTTTAATTGATGATTATGTTAGTTTGTCCAAATACTTATGAGCCCTTAAAGTTGGGGGACTGTGTGAAGAAATGGTTGTCATTCCTACATGGTTCATACTACATTTTTGAAAAAAGCCTTAAATGAAAGCTGAGAGTCTGCACTTTAAGCAGGTATTCATTGTTTCATTTAAAACCCATTGTGGTGGTGTACAGAGCCAAAATGATGACAACTGTATCATTGTCCAAATAATTATGGACCTGACTGTATCTGCATTATGTGATACTGTCACCCGCTCACACTACAGTTTGGCAAAATAGGAATGATTGGCTAAGTATTAAAATAGGAAATATCACACCATTTGACGCATACCAAAGTCTTATTTACAAAAATAATCTCATCAGCTGTTCAACATCATCATAATCATGGGTAAAAATTACATTTATTCATGTATTCATTTATTCATGTATGTATTCATTCACTAACTTGGTTAAGAAATAAAATAAAGATTTTTTTCTTCTTCACAAATATCAGTTTATACATAATCTCTCAAGACAGATTCTGCAATCTACATTGTAGAAGAATTTTTTTTTTTTTTTTTAAATTTATTTATTTATTTATTTATTTTACCGATGGATTAGTCTCGCCACCAGACAATCAGACTTGTGAGTCTACCGATGAATTTCCAGATTGACTTATACAAGAATGCAAAAAGTCTGTCAAACTATGCCACAGTTTCTGGTATTTTGACCAAGATGAAAGGTTTGTAGAGTGTTTATTCACTGGGTTGGCTCTGCTGTCATATGGGTTTAGTGTGTGAATTGTTGAAGGGGTCTTATAAATACATTTATTTTCACCAGTACATGTATGATTGTTTTATTTATAATATTAATTAAATAAATTTCTAATTTTTAATTATTGTAAATATACCCTTACCGTTTTTATTTATTTATTTTTTATCTCTTTTTGTGCGTTTATTGTTTGGGAATAATGCAAGTTCAATATTCCTACGAGAATTTGTAATGTTCAATTGTTGTAAATAAAGTTTAAAAAAAAAAAGACTGTCGCCCGCTGTGGTGGTCTCTTAGCAACGGAGTCAAAGAACAAAAACACTATCTTCTGCTTGACAACCCACGAGTCGATACGCTAACTTAAAAGTATAAAAATATAACTTAGGCCTACACCTAAACCAATACAAGCTAAAGTAAGTAGATCTACTGCCATCCTCCTAAAAAATCTAGAAACCAATTTAATAAACTGTAAGAATAAAAAAAAACTAAGCAACTTAGTGTAATGACTTATGTTGTCTAGTTAATTTAACACATGCGAACTGCTAATGCTCACTTAATTAACATTACATAACCTAGCGTTGACTGCTAACACTGTCATGGATAGTTAACTAACTAATGACCAATGTAGTTAATGTGCCAATGTATAGTTACCAGAGTTGTGAAATGTAGATGCTAATGCTATGGACCAATGACCTGAGGCTAACATTAGCCTGTATTACATAGTTTTACTTTTTCAGGCTATAGTGGTTCATGAAAAGGCACCTAGAAGCATTTGTATGAAACTAAACTACAAGGCATACTGGAAACCGAGTAAAGTATGAGGATATTGTAAGAGAAACACTGTATGTTAAAGTAAACATTTGACAACACTAATTTTCTGTTATGGTAATTGTGTTCTTACCATCCAGTGTCAGTATGTCTACAAAGGGAGCAACACTGCTGGCAAAGACTCAATCAAAAGACGCTCTACAGAACCATGAGCTGTCACTGAAGAAGCTGCTCTCTCCTGAGGCTCAACGCATCTCAAACATATTGGAAAACTGCATCAGACAAGCTGAGATTGCAGCCACTCTGCCTGCTGTCCTTCTAAACAGTACGTCCAGTGTTATGGATAAGGAGCTGACTAGGGCGCTTGAAAAGCACCGAATATTAAGTGAAAGACTGGAGACACTAGTAGGTCTCAAGCAGGAGTCAGATGGGGAACAGGGAGAGGGAGTTGGGGAAGCAAGGGTGAGATTAAAAGCTCAGCTTCATAGGGACATCAAGAACTCTGTCAGGGATCTGCTCAGGCTTTTCCGAGACTATCCAGATGCAATTTCTGGCCTGAGGTCAGAGCCAGGTGTGGAAGTAGGGGAGGGTGAGGTCATACTAATTAGAGGGCTTGAGAAGTTTCACAGCCATGTGGTGGAAAAGTTGCTGACCAGTACGCAAAAAGAGGTGCTACAGCTGATTTCCCACTAGCAGGTGTCTTCATTCCCTGCCCAGGATCTGGCACACGTGATTTTACTGGAAGAAGAAGGCACTGCAGCCATAAAGAAAATAGATGCAGAGGTGAGGCACTAAATAGGATGTTGAAAAAGAGACCCTCACTTACAAGAGTCCAGTTTCCCTTATAATTAGAAGCAGCCAGAAAAAAACAAGGATTTGAAATTTAAGCCAATATATCTCACCTCTCCTTTTTTTCTGTTTGTATCCCAGATTTCTCAGACAAATGCTGAAATCGAAAAATTGCAGAGTGCTCTGAGAGAGAATAACAGACAAGAAGCGGATATATCACTTCTTGCTGACAAGCAGTGCCAGGCACATATCAAGTCAGCGAAGATGAAGCACGCCAGTATACAACAGGAGATCGATCAACTGAACAGTCAGCTCAACAGTTTGACCCTTGAAGACGGGCAGGCAGAGAGAGTAATCCAAGAGGTAAGTTTAATGTATCTAACATTTCACAGTAAATGTACCAACACATTTAAGTTTCATTAAAACCCATATCACTGTTGCTGTTTTTTTCCCTTGGCAGGAAATTGAAAAGGTGGTGACAGAAATTGAATACTTGCTCCAGACTTTTGACAGTAAAATACAAGAAGTCCAGGTACAAACTCAGACAAACACAAAATGCCAAAAAGTATTAGTAAAATTAGTACAAGTAATTAATACAATTTTAAAGTCAAAAAGATTACATTATAAAGTCATAGTTATAGCTGAAACAAGAAAATTTGCCATTTTTGTTTGATTAAACAACTGTAATGATGAATCAGTTATCAAAGTAGTTGCCAATTATTTCTTATTTGTCTTCACTACTTTTAACTATCCACTACCGTCTCTGTCTCTCTCTCTCTTCTCCATCCTTTCACCCCTCAACACCATTACTGCCACCATCACCTGTCTCAGGCCAACCTGGAGTCAAATGAAATGGAGCAGGAAAGGGAGATGGAGGAGCTGAGGGAGCTGGAGAAACCCTTCACTGTCCTAGAAGTGGAGCACAACCAGATCCAGGAGAAGCGTCGTCTGGCAGAGGAGAAGAGGAGGGAGGAGATGGTGGAGCTGGAGCTCAAGACCAAAGCTGCTATTTTGGCCCAAGCCTGGTGGAGAGGCTACAGTACTCGAAAAGCCTTAAAGAACAAGGGCAAAAGCAAGAAGGCCAAAAAAGGCAAAGGCAAAAAGACTAAATAAACCATTGACTGGTTTCACTGTCTGTTGAGTATAAATGTTTTTAGATGTTTTATTTGCTAATTAAAAGGAGCCTGTTGTGCAAATACCATTATACTCCATATTCAGTGTGTTTTATCATTTGTACGTTTTTTTAAATAAAGTATTTTATTAAATATTTGGATACTGCAACAGAACAAAACTAAATGTTGAAATGGCAGCAGATGATAAAACATTTTTTTATTAATGAACATCCACACAAATGTTCAGTGGTTTAAAGGTCTTGACATCTCTGTGAAATGTGAGCTTTCTTGCACATGTTTTGGGTGAACACCTTTATCATCTTATTAGTAAGGGTAGGGTGGGTACTGTATAGGCAGGTATACTGTGGTTTGCCATCTCTTTTTATGGCTACTGACAGTATATCCATCTAACGGCCAAAATGGCTGTTGGAATATATGGGACAGTATCTCCACTTCCTCCTGGTAGCCTACCCGTCTACCTAGTAGCACATTTTCAGCACAGCTCTCCTCATCTTTCATCTGAAAACAGGTCTCATCAGCTAAAATAGGTTACTCCAGGTCAGATTCAGGGTGTACCAGTTGTTGTTTTCCTGTATGCCCACAGGGTGGCAGTATAGGACCTTTTGTTCTGAATGATCTATTATCTACATTACATTTCATTCATACAGACAAGAGGAGCCGGGACTGAAGAACAGACAGTAAGTTATCTCATATTACTTCTTGATAGACAGTAGCCTATTTATTCAGTTAAAACAAGTCGACTTAAAATGTAGACTATCTACAGCCAGAACCATTTAAGAACTTACAATCAAGGCATGTTTGTTACGAGAGGCTGACTGACTGTTTCCAAAACCCTGGATGAGCTGTCTCTACAGACACACAAAATACTACAGGACACTACAACAACAGCCTATATAAAACATTCAGAGCAAAAAGCTGTGATAATTCAGGATGTATAATATCCAATCAACAGCAGAGCTACTCAGCAGTCAGACATTTGAATTGCTTTACTAATTTTAATGTTGGTTTACACGCAGACTAGTAGAGGCATTCAGTTTCCTGAGCATATATTGTGCTGCTGTATCAAGTAAGAAAAATGAACAAAAACATGATGAAAATGTATAGTATGTTGTTGCAGTAGTTAGTCACTTGATATAATCCTGACTCAGCCCTTTGACGTAAATGTGTACCAGAGCCATGGTCATGAGCTATATAATCCAGTATGGAGCTATGATGTTAGGACTTTAGCTAACAGTTATTAGTTTATTCATGCCTTGAGACATGCACGGGCAGTATCTTTGATGAACTGACTCGAAAAGTTGCTTGGCAATTAATTTTCCAACAGTGTAGCCCACTAATTGATTAATCAACGTTTCAGTTATGATTGGTTTATTGTAAGAGATTTGTTTATTAGATTAAATTAAAATGAAGATCTTGTTTTTAAAGTTTTGGTGTGGCTTTGATTTTTGTTTTCTATATAAAGACACACTTAGATATATGTGTTTAGGTAGTCTTCTTTCCCCTGAATTGTGTTGTATTTCTTTGTTTTTATTGGACAGTTGTTCACTGATTGGTCAGTTTTTCTGCTCAGTGTCTGCTGAATTAGGTCATGTTAGTTTAATTTACTTTTGGTATTGTTAGGCTATATACAAATACAAATGAAAATTAGACAGTACAACAATAGTTCGTAAATAGTACATCCCATCAAACAATTTCAAAAAGCCAACAAGCGACTAGAAAGCAAGAACTGAAAACTAAACAAACAAGCAAAAAGAAAAACCGAATAGATAAAATGAATATTTCAGAACATAGGCTAATAAAAACATAAGAAAAATAAGATTAATGTTACAGGTCGTAAACATACTATCTTACTGTAAGAATTGGATAAATGTGCATAAGTCTAGTATATACTTTTTTTTGTTTGTTTGTTAAGGGGATGCCCTGCGGATTCTTTATCTGTCCTGACATTTCTTTTTCAACGTTTGCGCTATTACTTTTTTCTTTCCTTTAAAAAAAGAATCTGAGCTTTATGTAGTTTTATATGTGAAAAAAAATCAGAATTCTAGTTGTTGATTCATTTTCTGATAATGGCCCAAACTTTTCAGTTCTCATAGAGTTTGGCTCAGATAAAATAAAAATAAAAATAAAAATTGAAACTGAAATTGACATTAGAATTAAAACTAAAATTAAAATGTTTTGAAAGTAGTTTCTCTTTACACTGAAATGGCGGACTGTGCCTTTAAAAGTTCCTGGTTTGTGTTACCATGGAAACGGCCGGGAGGAACGCTGGAGGGTAGCGCTGGTAGAAAGTTTGAAAACTAATCACCGACAGCACGAGGAGGAAGGAGAGCGGTTTAAAACCCGAAGATATCGTTAAAACCTCCAAAGACAACATGAGCAGGAGGAGCGGCCGTGAGCAGCGGTCCTCACAGTGAGTTTACCCACAGTGAGTTCATACTGAGCTGGTGGAGCGTGTGAAGCTCAGCCAGGATCAATCCCAACAGTCAATGTTAATAACTTTCTTCTATTTGTGTGAACAGGAGGTCGGCTGAGGGCGCAGGCGGTGTAGTGACAGAAAGAGCTTTAACGTTACATGATAATAGCTTTGCCATCACTGATCTACTGAGGAAACGCCGGGAGGAGATAGAGCTGGAGACAAAGCTCAAGGAGCGCCAACAGGTATGAATAGGTCATCATACACTCAGCCATATTGCGGTGAAGATGCGTTCAGGGGTAGCCTACCTTAAGGTTTTTACCTTACTTTGGTTGCTAAGATCTTCTGTGCAACGGTTTAATGAACTTTAAGAATGTCCTTCAGTATAAGACCAAGATAAGAAAACATTAAGGAAACCTAAGGAGAAGACTTAAATGGGCCTATTTTTTGTGCAACTTGTTTTATTTAAAGGAAAATCTTAACTTAAGGTGCTTTGTTCTTTAGGCCTACTTATCAGAGGAGGTGGCTGGAGTGTGACTTCGTTTTTGTTGTTGTTGTTTAATTATTTTGTCCCTCCCCAAAGTTACAAATATTTTTTCTTGGGCCTCTCTGTGTGACTGAAAATGCATGATCCTCCCTCCACCATAAATTAGTTATTGGATTTTTTTAAAACGTACCTTTGATGTTTGAAAGTTAAAAGTTGAAGTTCCCTCTTTATTTTTGGCCAAATTTCAAATGAGACTAGACATAGTTATTTTGTTGAAATATCACTGTTTTAAGTTCATATTTGGTTTTGATTTTTTTTCTGATGGAAGGGTCTGTGGCACATGATATGTCCAAGGTCAGAAATGTGAGAATCCTAAAAAAAATTTGAACCTATAGTTTCTGTCTATGATAAATGGTGTAATTTGGGCAATTTTTTTAAAGAAAACATGCTGTCCGTCCAAACCTTGGAAGGCATGGCAGTAAAATAAATACAAAATACCACCATTTAAATTTGTATCCCCTTCCCCTATGCCAAAATAAAAACATAAGCTCCTCCCCAATGCTTAAAAAATGTTTGTACTGGCCCCCCCAGTTTGTTCCATGCCCTCCCCCCTTTTGTTACATAACTAACACACATTCCCTAAGGGTTAGCCATCACATGTCTAGCAGCTTTGAGGAGATCAGGGTTGGTTAGCTACAGTTGGTGCACAGCTTTTTTCCTCATCATTTTAAGGGTTCAGAAAAAATGTACAGTACAGGCCAAAAGTTTGGACACACCTTCTCATTCAATGCGTTTTCTTTATTTTCATGACTATTTACATTGTAGATTCTCACTGAAGGCATCAAAACTATGAATGAACACATGTGGAGTTATGTACTTAACAAAAAAAGGTGAAATAACTGAGAACATGTTTTATATTCTAGTTTCTTCAAAATAGCCACCCTTTGCTCTGATTACTGCTTTGCACACTCTTGGCATTCTCTCCATGAGCTTCAAGAGGTAGTCACCTGAAATGGTTTTCCAACAGTCTTGAAGGAGTTCCCAGAGGTGTTTAGCACTTGTTGGCCCCTTTGCCTTCACTCTGCGGTCCAGCTCACCCCAAACCAGCCTCGATTGGGTTCAGGTCTGGTGACTGTGGATGCCAGGTCATCTGCCGCAGCACTCCATCACTCTCCTTCTTGGTCAAATAGCCCTTACACAGCCTGGAGGTGTGTTTGGGGTCATTGTCCTGTTGAAAAATAAATGATCGTCCAACTAAACGCAAACCGGATGGGATGGCATGTCGCTGCAGGATGCTGTGGTAGCCATGCTGGTTCAGTGTGCCTTCAATTTTGAATAAATCCCCAACAGTGTCACCAGCAAAACACCCCCACACCATCACACCTCCTCCTCCATGCTTCACAGTGGGAACCAGGCATGTGGAATCCATCCGTTCACCTTTTCTGCGTCTCACAAAGACACGGCGGTTGGAACCAAAGATCTCAAATTTGGACTCATCAGACCAAAGCACAGATTTCCACTGGTCTAATGTCCATTCCTTGTGTTTCTTGGCCCAAACAAATCTCTTCTGCTTGTTGCCTCTCCTTAGCAGTGCTTTCCTAGCAGCTATTTGACCATGAAGGCCTGATTCGCGCAGTCTCCTCTTAACAGTTGTTCTAGAGATGGGTCTGCTGCTAGAACTCTGTGTGGCATTCATCTGGTCTCTGATCTGAGCTGCTGTTAACTTGCGATTTCCGAGGCTGGTGACTCGGATGAACTTATCCTCAGAAGCAGAGGTGACTCTTGGTCTTCCTTTCCTGGGTCGGTCCTCATGTGTGCCAGTTTCGTTGTAGCGCTTGATGGTTTTTGCGACTCCACTTGGGGACACATTTAAAGTTTTTGCAATTTTCCAGACTGACTGACCTTCATTTCTTAAAGTAATGATGGTCACTCGTTTTTCTTTAGTTAGCTGATTGGTTCTTGCCATAATATGAATTTTAACAGTTGTCCAATAGGGCTGTCGGCTGTGTATTAACCTGACTTCTGCACAACACAACTGATGATCCCAACCCCATTGATAAAGCAAGAAATTCCACTAATTAACCCTGATAAGGCACACCTGTGAAGTGGAAACCATTTCAGGTGACTACCTCTTGAAGCTCATGGAGAGAATGCCAAGAGTGTGCAAAGCAGTAATCAGAGCAAAGGGTGGCTATTTTGAAGAAACTAGAATATAAAACATGTTTTCAGTTATTTCACCTTTTTTTGTTAAGTACATAACTCCACTTGTGTTCATTCATAGTTTTGATGCCTTCAGTGAGAATCTACAATGTAAATAGTCATGAAAATAAAGAAAACGCATTGAATGAGAAGGTGTGTCCAAACTTTTGGCCTGTACTGTATTGTCAAAATGTTTGTTTTCTTGACCTGTCAAAACATCTGAAAGTCACTTTATTTTTTGGTGAGGTTGACTTATCAGTTTTATGGTATCGAAAGTAAAAAGAAAGTGGTCTGTCCCAGAGGAAAGGAAAATTCAAAATAAAATCTCTTCTGAGTCCAACCAATTTCTCCTAGACATATCTGAGCTCATATGGGATTTTAACCATTTTCTCATACTTCTTAAATTCAGCTCCTGAGAATAGCCTTCCTCTTGTCTTAGCCTGATCCAAATTTAAGATCTTAAAATGCTCATTTTCCTCTCTCACTGCAGTCATCTTTATTTGTCTGAAATAATAAGATCCAATGGAAAACCTGATTTGCCTGTACAATTTCAGAAATTTGTCTCACAGTTGCAACCATAACTGTATTTTTAGAGACTACTTTGAAAGTTTAAAAACAACATTTATAATTTTGATTAATTATTATTATTTTTATTGGTAAATGGCAAAAGTAATAAGACATTCCTGATGATGAATTGCTTAAAAATGTTGTTGGAGGCAGTGCAGAGCTTTAAGTACCTTGGCATCATCCTGGACAATAGACAGAGCTTTAATCACCACACCACAGACATACATACATACATACATACAACGCTGCCAGCAAAGACTCTCTGCCATGCTCTTTCAGTCAAACCCTACCTCATGCTCCTTCTCTATCGTAGTATCATTGAACTCATCCTCCTGTGCTGTGTATTTCACCATGCTTACTCTCACCAACGGAAACAAGCTACTGAAAATCACCACTAGATTAAATAATTGGCCTCCCCACCCCAAACCTGCCAGCCCTCACTAATAGTGCCGGTACCATCAGAGCACTGACCATAGCACACAACCCCTGCCACCCCGTCAAACCATGCTTCATCCTCCTCCCCTCTGGGCACACATACAGACAGCCACTCTGCAAGAAAGCCCGCTTTTGGAGGAGTTTAGTGCCCATTGCCATTACTCTTTTATATAGCTGTGGCATATTGTAACAGATGTGTGCTGTGTGTTTATTGTGATGTTCTTGTCTGTTTGTCTGTCTTGTCCGGTCGGTTACCTGCTCTGAGTGTTTTTTTTTACGACTGTGAGAACAAATTTTCTCCATAGAGGACATTAAAGTATGAATCTGGATCTGAAATGTGTAGATATTCAATTAAATGTACATTTTCTTGTTGTTGATTGAATTAAATGTTGAAATTGTTTCTACTGTTTGCTTAACATGTGCCAACCAACCCCAGGATGGGGCAGGTTGGCACAGATGCACAGCATGACTTTAATCACAAATCTCCTAATTTTAGAAAACGTGGTACATTAAAACATATTTATTTATAGCTGAGACCTTAGCCTTTCAATTACTACTGGTTCTAACCAGGGAAGTATAGCAGAGAGTGAAAAGTGTGCCTACCAATCCCCATCTTCCCTACCCCACCGGCAACATCTGTGGCTCAGGAGGTAGAGCAGATCGTCTGGTAATCAAAAAATTCCTGGCTCCTTAGTCTGCATGCTGAAGTATCTTTGGGCAAGATACTAAACCCCACAGTGCTGTGTGTGTGGCCACCTGTGTATGAATGTGTATGTGAATGGGTGAAAGTGACATGTACTGTAAAAGTAATGCAATCCATTTACCATTTTATTATCTGTCTTAATGCTCACTGTCCCGATTGACCATGCTACATAAATATTCCTCAGTAATTTTTGCCTGCTGTGTGTCTTTTCATGTAGAGGTTGGCGATCTTGGAACAGAACACAGATGAGTTGCAGGGGGAGTTTAAGAAAGTGAAGGAGTTACACAAAACCTATGATAAGTTTCTAAAGGTACAGTAGAGAACTATTTCACTCACCACTCCTGTGCTAGACTCACTGTAGCTATTCCTTATTGGATTTCAATTTCACTAAACCTCACTGAATCCCTATCACCCTCCCTGCAGGAGAAAGTAGTGTATCCAGCTGCTGAGGAGGAGAGCGAAGACTTGCTTCAACTTGAAGCTAATAAAGAGAGGCTTGAGGTGGAGTATGTTGAAGTGATGGGGAGGAAGCAGGAGCTACAGCGTCAGGTGCAGAGACACTCTTTGTATCAGGACTACATGGAGCGCATGGTCAAAATGACTAAGGTACTGCAAGGATTTTTACACGGCAGAGAAACGTGTGACTCAATATAAATTTCATCAATCATAAAAAGATCCATTAAGTACTAAACCATCTGTCAATTGAAACGCACAGGACCACCAAACATATCAAGTCCTGTACATCCCAAATAATATTAGAATATTATATAATACTGCAGATAAATACCTAACTGTTTAGTCATGATGGTAAACCTCCCTAAATCTTGACTCACCTTGTCTCTCGATTATGGCCTCGCATCATTCGACCAGGGTGTCTGCAGGTCTTTAAAAAGTCTTACAATGTCTTTGTAAATATTAGCTCTTAAAGTAATTGAATAGTCTTAAATTTCAATTTGTGAGGTATTAAAGGTTCAGTATGTACAATTTAGGAGCTTATTTGCAGAAATTATATACAATAAAATGAATAAATATGTTTCCAGTAGTTTATAACTGGCTGAAAATAAGAATCATTGTGTTTTTGTTACCTCAGAATGAGCTGTTTTATCTACATACAAAGTGGGTCCTCTCTCATGCTGTCCGCCATTTTGTTTCTACAGTGGCCCAGAACGTCCAGAGCAAACACTGGCTCTAGATAGGGCCATTTGTGTTTTCATATATTCGCGTCGGCCACTGTAGTTCTACATGCTTGGCACACGGGAGAGGTTTCATCACAGTTAAATCCTATACCCTGGACCTTAAATTGCCACAAACGTTTGATCTAATTTCATTTATCCATTTTTTTAATTTCTTTTGGTCAAAATGAGTCAAGCTCTTCTGCGGGAAAGTCCACATTTCTGTTGTTACAAATCTTTAAACTTACCACTGAGTCTAATACGTCTTTGTCTTTTTACTTTGTTACCTATTGGCAAAATGTAGATTGATTTAACTCACTCTGATAATCCTAATCTTACATAAAACCTACCTCTGCATGGGACCACATATATACTACTAACCTGCAGTGCTTGAATAAGAAAACAATGATCTGTCCAAAATTCATTAAACATAAGTGTCTGATACCTGTCGACACCCTGCATTGACTATGCATATATACCCTTACTGTGGGTGAGGTAGTTTTTTCCTACAGATTTATTTTTTTATTTTAAAAAAAGTGCAGTAATTTGTATGATGCTTGCAGGTGTGTTCATGTGCATGTTTTGAGTAGTTAATGAAGATCAGTTTTGGTTCTACACCTTTAATGTGTGTGTGTTACAGTTTAATAGTGTGAAGGAGCTCATCGGTCATTTAGAGAACTGTGTCCACTTCAGGGACCATCTCTATCAGAAATATATTGAGGTGCAGGAGCAGATCGACCAGCAGAAAAAAACACTGCAGACACTGGAGGACCAGCATCACTTTATTCGGCTGCAGAAGAACAGCCAGCTGTACCAGCTCCAGGGAGAGCTAGAGAAGACGCACTCCGAGGCTCTCATATTGGTACTAGACATGACCCCCCCGTTAAAGCCCAGGATCAGAGCTAACAACAAATCAAAAGTTGCTTCAAAATTCAACTACAGTCCTCAGTGTGAAGTTCACGTGTCCCTGTCATCACACAGGAAAGGGAGTGGAATCACTTTCTGGAAAGAGCAGCAAAGAAGACAATAACACTCGGAAGGATTAAGATGGCAACCCTCAACCTCTACGAGATGACAGATGACAAGATAGAAGGGAGGGAAGCTGTGGATATGAATGACACGGAGAAACAGCTGGACAAGGTACGTACCCTGACAGAGCAGAGATGGAGACAAACAGCCAGAGCAACAGAAAACAGTTGACTCATTATTTCCTTCTGTCTTCCTCTTAGATCAAGGAGTACATTAAGGACCAGGAGGACCTCTTGAAACAATATCAGGTTATCTCACAGAGACGTAATGCACAGGAAAAAGGCAAGCCAAAAAATGCACCTAACACAGCGTAAAAAACTTGCTTCAAATTAACTGTAAACAGAAGTTTCCCTGTTGCTTTAAAACTGACTTCACTGAACTAGTGGAATAGTTCATTTAAAGTTTGTTTATTAGTCATAATGTAAAACTCTGTGAGTGAACTGTAACTGTAAACTTGAAGACAATGAACTTCAATAAACTTATGGCACAAATGATTCATCATTTTGACAAGGAGTCCCAGTTTGTTCTGATCTGCAGTCACTGCATGTTTATGAATTATGGTTTGAGCTGTTTTTGTTTAAAATGTAAAAAATAGATCTTTGTGACAAATCAAATAAAAAAAAATCAAAACACAAGACTACTATGAGAAACACGGCTCAGCTTGCGGTGGGCTTTTATCTTATGTGTGCCCAGGGGCCCATTGTCTCCTAGTTGGTCTATTTAAACCACCCATACATGATTGAAAAACAACTGAAAATGTGTATACAGCACAGACCTCAGTGTTGTGACCACTGAAACATGAGTTTCAGACATTTGATTGACAGGTGTTACCACAGGGAGATGTGTGATTTTTTCACTTTAAGCACAAAAATCACACTTAATGTCACACCTTTCCACTGCTGACGCTTTGAATGATGCTGGACAGTGCGCGCAAAGCACGCCACCACACGCCACGCTCTTCACCTTACTCTAGACTGACAGACGTGGGCACACATGATGACACTGAACTGTAAACAAGTCAGAAACAAGATCAGTTGTGTGAAATTTTTGAGGCTACTTTGGATTGAAAGATGTGGGCCGAATTTATGTAAGGATTTGTTGGAGTCTGACAATGACCCTAAAAATGTGGGAGGAGGAAAAGATGACATGCAACAAATATCCATAGCCTCAATTAAACCAGTGACACCACACAACATAGCATATATCGTAAACCACTAGACCACAAGTGCTACCAAAACCTTCAAAAATGTATTTTAAATTATATTTGAGAAACCCTCAATTTATAGATATCAAATACATCTGGGAAAAATGTGAATAAAATGAGACAGAAGACTTCTAGAATATTTCTATTCAGAGTCTTGGGTATTAGATGATGACATTTGATCAGTAAATACAATTGGGAAACTTAATGTTAAGGCTTTTAAAAGGTTCTTCTGTATAAGTGACTAACGAGAACAACAATTTTTTAAATTCATCCGGTATTGATAGAGACGTAGCTGCAGCAGTGAAATAGGCAGCAATATAATCCCTACAGGCAATAGCGTACCATCAATTAATGTCCATTAAAAGTGCTAGTTTTTAGACCCTACAGAGAAATAAAACGTTTTTCTGTACCTTTCTGGTGCGTTTGTTAGTCTGTGTAACAAGTATGAAATGATTGCAGTCTCGTATTGAAATCTGCAGACTTTTCCACATTGTCTAAATCAGCTAAATATTCAGCCATGACACTGAAAATCTTTTTACACTAAGCTACTCTTTCTGTATTCCAACAGAACTAACTCTTCCTGGCACTTCTGTCTCTATCTCTCACTAATGTATCCACCGTTGGTTTTCTTGCAACAAGTCACCTATCCTGAAGTTTTAGATCGAGACTTCTCCTTGAGCGAGACTTGGTCACAGTAGTAAAAAGACCAACAAAAGGTAAAGAAAACATTTAATTTCTCTGTAGGGTCCTTTCTGTAATGTTGTCAGACACTTACAATAACAGTCTGAGCCTGCCAGTGGGAAAAAATAGCACTTTTAATGCATGTAAATTGATGGAGCCCAATTGCCCATAGGGATTACACTGCAGCTTGTTTTGCACTGTTGCTGCAGAGGTCTCGCTCAATACTGGACTAATTTCAAAAACTGTTGTCTCCATTACTCACTTAGTAACAACAAAATAGGAAAATAGGGTCCAGGATAAATAACACAGAAATTTTCCTTTAAGTGCCACTTACTTCGTAGGCCTTGTCAGAGGCCAGATAGCAAAATGTGCATCCTCTCAACACTCCAGTAATAACTGTATATGTTTATCTGGTGTGGTGTAGTGTAGCAAGTTAGGGCCACAATCTTTGACTCATTTATGATACACATTAGGGCAATGAGTATAAATGAAAATATGAAATGGTTGTGCGCTTTACAAAAGTCAGTTACTGATCTTGAGAAGTCAGGTTCAAAGGGTTATTCTTGACATTGGATGCAGTAGCTGACCTCAATGATCTCAATCAAAAGCTCTAGAGCAGCTAGTCAATGGACCTTGTGGTGGTATTGGGGTTCTGTGACAAACTCAGAAACTCAGTTTTTAAGACAGCATGGATGAGAGGTCCTCGAAGTGCTCAGAAACATCTACAGTTCCACCTGCTGAGGAAGCTCCAAAACAGCTGCCAAAATAGACTTTGTGGTGTGGTGAGATTGAAAAGTCAGGCAGTAGTAGTCACTGTCACCTACAGTAATGTTCATCACGAAATGATGAATATATCCAGGACATTCATGGTTTAGTTCACACCTAAAATATCTTTAAAGACTTGTCACCTTTACAGTAAGTAGGAGCCATATGTAATTGAGTTCATGCTAATTTGACATTACATGTTCATACTGTGAGCACAGAGCAAGGTGGCATTAGCACGCCTAATGGAAATGCTGTGTGCTGTTATTTTTGCATAATAGTTGCCAGGTGTGGCGAAGATGGCGATGCTGACAGTGAAAGCAGCAAAACCAGAAAAATGCATCTGATGTTAATGTGTGTCACGTGCACACACACACACACACACACACACACACACACACACACAACACAAATGGGAGGGAAAGGAAGGCAAAAGGCAGTGGAGGGGAAAAACAACAACACAGATAGCTGCAGGCAGAGATGCCGCTGTATCCATTTTTGATGAATGGATGGCTTGCTGCCCACACACACACACACACACACACACACACACACACACACACACACACACACAGTACTTTATTAATACTAATGGAATGATGCTATTACAATAAAAGCATGTTGTGTCAGGTGACACAGGTCACAGTGTGAGGCTGAGGAGATGGAGACGTAACACCCATGTAAACACCAGCAGACCTTTTAACAGCTGAGGAAGACAAGGAGAAAAAGATTGGTTAGATTGGTTAGAATCTATAATGGCAGGCACTAAGTCCACAAGGACAATAAAGAATCTTGGTAGCATTGTTCATTTTTATTAATTGTGATGTTACCCCTTAAATGTCCTCTTAAGTTGCACATTTATTGTTTCACTGTGTCACAAAAGCTAAATAACCCTCTCCTAAGTGACATATTCAATCCAAATAATAAACGATGTGCCATTGATTAAATGGAAAATAATATTGTCCTTCTGTATTATTTGTACACATTTCTCTGTGCTTTAGTGCTCATATTTGAGATATTTGGAGACCACTGGATCTTGGATAGTATCCAAATGTTGTGGGTTTGATAACAGGTTATCTGTTAATCAGCTCCTCCCTTGCCCCTAAAGGGCAGTGATACACACCATGCTTTGCCCAGGGACCACTTTTGCAAATGACAAGAGGCCAGGAGCCATTTAATAACAATTATGAATAATATTTATCAGTCAAAAGTAATAAACGAAGCAAATCCAGTTGCAGCAGCCCAGCACAGGTCACGTGTACGTCAGGGTGTTTATAGGATTTGAGGACATAGGGCTCAGCCCAGACCTCTGTCAGGGGGGTCAGTCCTTCAACTGGCATTTTTTTTGATAAACAAGCTCTGTTTCCAGAGCTAGCCCAACACAGAAGCACACTTAGCAGCTGTCTAGGGCCCTGTGGCCAGCACAGGGCGCCCAAGGGCGCTTGAAACTGTCACACCTCGCCTTGTTAGTTAAGTTACTTTTTGTTTCTCACATTTATCTTTGTTTTTATGTTGAAACTCACCTGTTGTCTCATTTCAGGTCCTTCACTTCCTGCCCTCGTGTTTTCCCACCTGTGTGATTACCTGCTCCGCCCCTAATGTGTTGCACCTGTGTCTCATTGTCTCCCCTCCCTGTAGAGTATTTAGAGGCCGTTTACACGTTGCCGTCTATTTTCATAAACGGACATTTCACCGTCTCCGTTTTCAAAAAGATCTTCGTTTACACTTACCCGTGTATATATACACAAGAGCATGCCAAACCTGTAGGTGGCAGTGTAACGAGAAGCTCAAGCCTTCCATGTATCCATTGTCACCATAGCAACATAGGTCGCACTTTTTACACAGGCGCAAGTTCCGGCGCATACTGTGACGTGGGCTGCCTATAAATCCGTTTATCTGCGTTTATCTCAGTTTACATGCAAACGCGCAACTGGAGTTTTCCAAAATCTCCACTCTGGCCGGAGTTTTTAGAAAGACTCGTTTTCAGAGGAGAAATCTCCGTTTGCGTGTAAACGAAGGGCACAAACGAAGGAAGATGTCTCCGTTTATCAAAATCACCGTGTATGTGTAAACGGCCTCTTAGTCTGCTTGTTTTCTCCCCTCTGTGCCAGTTCGTCTTGTTCCTTTGTGACAGCGTTCCAGCGTTTTTTCCTTGTGAGTCTTCAGTGTTTTTTGACCAGTTGCTACCCTTTTTTGACCCTGCTTTTTGCCTGCTGTCTCTGTACCTTTGCCTCCGCTGTTTGACCTCCTGTGTACTGACTTTGGCAAGATTAAAGGACAAGTTTGTGTATTCCACTGTGCACGAGTCTGCTTTTGAGCCCCCGCGTACGTCAGTCTTTACAGAAACGTCCCACAAACAGAGCCATGCAGCCCTATGCTCACTAAATTGTGTAAGCTCCACAACTTACACAAGCCACAAAATAAAACACACAGTAAAATGATTGAAATAACAATAATAATTTATAAACTAAAATTTGAAAATAAAATCTGATTTTTTTTGTCAAGTTATTTACATTGCAATTCCTCTTTCATTTTCAAATGTTGAATTACATGATGTACACATGACATGTATTGGATATGACTGATAAATACAATATGTATGAAATTGTTGATTATCGTTGACTGTTGTAGTAAAGTACCCTGCAGTGTGTTTCTTTGTGAATGATGTGATGTTTTATGTGTAGTTCTCTGGTTTCCTTATCATTTAGATTGGATGGCAGCATTTGTGACTGAAGCATCTTCATTGGCTGTTTGGTGTTTCTTTGAAACTCTGTCAGTTGCCTAATGATGAAATAATTAAATTTATTCATTCATTTTCCGGAACTGCTTATCCCGTTGGGGTCATGG